ACGTTGAATACGGTACTTCCTCGGATCATATAAGAGTAAGGAATAGGCAGGGGCGAATTCTATGGACTTGCTTAGCATGCACCACATGCTTAAGAGAAAGTATTAACTGTCAATATACTTTTTATATGAGAACAAATATGCCAATAATAATTTATTGTAACGTGTAAACTCTTTTATCATTTTTGTTTTCTTTTACATTGGCAGCTATCGGCTAGCCGTTTTAAGTCAGCGCGACGCTTGTGGGAACTCGATTGCTTGCTCGTGTGGAGGTTTGCCGCAGCAAATGAGTGCGCGCGCATGACGTCATTGAAGCATTTAACATAGCCAGATTGTATCGAAAGCTTGCGGTACCCAATCAGCATATATGTATTGTGTACAGGGCGGATCTACATTGAGATTAATAGGGCTTAAGCCCTGGGACCCCAGTGTCAAGGGCCCACAAAATTTGAATTATTATCATAAATTTTTAATACTTTTTCATTATATTTCATATACAGTATTTTATGTGTAGGTATAATGGGCTTTATAATAGTCCACACTTTTTTATTCACACCAAATAACGTTTCTGCCTATTGTTTAGTGCTAGAGATAGGTCTATTGTTCTTATTATAACTTTCAGCATGCCCAAAAGTTTTGGTCAGGATTTGCCCCTTGGAATAAGATTGTTTCGTATGTGGTTGATAAGTGACAGGAATTTGGAGCATTTACAGCAGCATCAAACGGTAATCCTTACAAAACTGTGGAGGAGTATAAAAATGAGATGGGACGATTGAACACTTATCGGTCCACTGTTGAATTACATGCAGCGTCGGAATTATTTGTGTGTAAATTTGAAATTTATATAGGACATAAATTAGATAGCTGTTTTCGAAAGGAAACTTCAAAGGTGGCGAGACTAAGGTTTAATGGAGACGGATAAAATGGTCATTTTGACGCATTAATACCTGAAAAGGAAGTGGACGTGGGGATGAAAGAAGTGTATTCCTTAAGAATGGAAGTGTTAAGAGAAAGCGACGTGCAAGATTTACAGGCGCAGATGCGGTTTTTTGCGATTTTGCGGGAAATCGAACATATTTTTAGACCCACCTAAACATTCTCTAATTAGTCTGGAAACGGGAAACCTAATTCTTGCATTCTGTGAAAATGGGTAAGATTGGCTATAATGTAATAATCTTAATCTTCGCTGTCGTTACTTTTTGCACGAGCAATGTCGAGCTTATCTGCTAGTTTACTCATAAAAATAGAACAAATGTGTCATCAATTAATCATAATAATCAAGTATAAATGACTGATGTCAATCTAGTAATATGCAATTTAGGCTAATGTTTTTCCTTTGTGTGTGTATTTGTTTTACTTGTCTTTTTCTTAATTTTCGTCTAGAATTTCTTTTTTTGTTTGGTTCAATGTCACGACTTGGTGAATTTATTGACACTTGGCAAATAATTTCATCATCAACTTTTAATCCATACAGATACGCGTTTCGGGCTTTCGCCCCTCTTCAGTCTGTTACATAGATAGGTTGTATCTTATGGGTATCTATCAGGCACCTTCCGCACTACGTCTTCTCACGCCCCTTCTCTTCCTTGCCGACTTGACGGCCTCCCACGCAGAAGAGGGGCGAAAGCCCGAAACGCATATCTACAGTGTATGGATTAAAAGTTAATGATGAAATTATTTGCCAAGTGTCAATAAATTCACCAAATCGTGACATGAACCAAACAAGACAAGAAGAAGACACGGTTTCGACAAATAAATAAAATTTCTTTTTTCTTTTAATTTTTACAAACTGAGAAGTTTTTCAACTATAATAAGAATCAAACACTTATATGTAATGATTTTGTTATTTTTTTAATATGCAGTATTTAAATGTTTCAAAATACAGTACATTTAATAATAGGCATACTTTTAAAAATATAGACGGATATTTAAGAATTATTTTAAAACATTTAGGAATTAAGGCTGATTATAACCTCTTTAGTTATGCATGCTCCAGTAGATGGCGTTAACACATGTAATTCTTTTACTAAAATATTTACCGTGGCCATGAAACTAAGGAACCAAAATGGCGACTCCATAAGGAACATTGGTGTCCTGACCTTGTGTTTATAGACCTTACTCTGACTAAAGAGGTTACAATCAGCCTTATCTTGAAAATTTTAAGCCAATTAAATAATATTATTTATATATATTAAAGAAGATGAAAAAGGGTAATTTAAATTTTAGAACAATAAGTTTCAGTAGTTTCTAAATTACACATATTATTAAGCAAATAATTACTTTATAAGTATTAGAAACAAATAATGAATTTAACGGGTTTACAAATGATATACAGGTAACCCCCGTATAACACGGTAGTTACGTTCCAAAAAATTGCCGTGTTATGCGAATCCGTGTTATACGAAACAAAGAACTAATACGAAAAGGATGGTTAGGTTCCAAAAATTAAAAAACATGCTAGTATATTTTCATAATTAAGATAAATATCTTCATAAAAATTTTTTAAGTGATACATATTAATATAAATTAAACAATGTTTTCTTCGTCATCACTAAAAACACTATTAATTAACCGAGAGCGTTTTCTTTTTGGCAAGTTATCCTTATCCTCTGAGCATTTTTCTGCATTATCTTCAGATCCATGCTTTACCTTTTGCAAAATGTATGTAATTTTAGATTGCTTGCTTCTAGTTAAAAGGTCTTTATAAATTTCCTTATATGGTGCTAAGCACTTATGAAGAATAAAGCAAGTATGGAATAAGGGAAAAACATTCGGCAACATCAGAAGCAGAAGCGTCGCGATCTGGCAACATTGAAACAAGTTTCGAGAAGGACCACGTGTATCGACAGAAGGCGAGAAGAGAAAATTTACATACTTAAGTACTAATAGTTCACGAAAATAATAATTTTCGTGAACTATTATTACTTAAGTATGTAAAAATTTATTACATTTCCTGTTGTACGAGGGTTTTACCCAATTCTCGAACCGTGTCAGAGTAAATCCGTGCTATAAAAGTACCGTGTTATACGGGGGATGGTACCAATTCTCGAACCGTGTTAGAGCGAATCCGTGCTATAGAAGTGCCGTGTTATACGGGGGTTACCTGTATTTAATTAATGTATTAATTAATAATAAATGCATATCTAAATATACAAAGAAATATAATATCCTACTTATTGCCACGAGAATTGTAATATAATATGGTAAATCATAGATATCAGATATTTTAAAGTGATTATTGTTTAGTGCAAGCTGTGTAAACATTTCTCCGTTCTCCACCTAGTAATGAACTCTAAATGTCGATACACACAATACCAGGAAGTTTAACGGAAAATGTAATAACAAAACTGAATACTATCTGTTTTTTAATGTAATAAGTAATAAGAGTAAGTTTAAATTTAGGATGCTCAATGCAAATGATCCTAACTTTATACTTATATTAATCAAGTTAGGATGAAAGATGGAAAACATATTTTTCACTTGGAAAGATTCACCGGTGGTCGAGTGAATAAAAACTGGACATTGAACACTGAACAGTGGTATATCGCAAATTCCAACTGTCTGCATAAGGTTTTTCCAGGTTTTTTCACCTGTCTAATATCTAAATAGGGGTCAGTTTCCCTAGAAAGTTCTTCTTGGAGAAAATTACCCTTAGCAGATCGCCCTGATATTGAGTTCCGTATTCCATCAAAAACCAAATCGAACTATTTCAAAAGTTCAAAATGGGAAGAGTGTTTTATAAAAAACATATAACACGTAATATGCATAAAAACTTGCTACCTTTATTCAAAGATTATCTTAACTTTATGATGTAAACTATGTTCTATAATGTATGAATTATAAGTTTTAATTGAATGAGAAATAAAAAGAAACGAGTATAATTCTTTCTAAAAGATAAAAATTCGATTCTTGTTTCTTTAATTTAAATTTTTAATTTTGAAATTCCTATTTTGTATTAAAAAAAGTTACAATCGCGAGTTTTCCAGGAAATTTTACAGTTTATACAGGAAGGATATTTTGAAATTTAAAATTAAATCGCGTTTATCGATCTTATTCCAATTAATATTATTACAATTCATTTTGTAATAGTATTTCACTCTTGATTAAATTAAAATTATTAATGCATTATATAAATTATAAAATTAACAAATTACTTTCCGAAAGAATAATATTATGGCAATAGAAATTTTTTATAATCAGAATATGAATTTTTGACAAATTAATAGCAACGCATGCTACTCCCAGATTATTTAATCTAATTAAATAAAATTATATTTTTAATTAATATTTTAATGCTTTTAATCTGATCTGTAATCAATTACCACATTTATAATTTATCATTAATTCTTACATAATTTTAAACTAATCCTTCTCATCAAGCCCATCGTGAGTTCTGTTAGACTAGAATGGGGAGGCCGAGTGGTAAGAGATGGGGCTAGATATATTCGTAACGGATTACCTTACGCCCTTAATATGTTCCTCCGATTGTAATACGACCGCAATGTGTACTTAATATGTAGCAATCTCACTTTTGAAAGGATATGAATACATTGCGTTTGTATGTAGTAAATAATTTTTATGTTCCTATTTATGTAATGTTAATGTTCCTACTGTTTTCGAGTCAGTAAAACATGTTATTTTTAATCATTAAGAAGTATTTTATGCTTTTATTTGAACATTCCAACTAATTTCGGTTTATCTAGATTGGGTCCAACGCCCAAACGGGTTTGACTATAATTGCAATGAATATCTAATACGATTGTTGTTGTTGTATAGTAAAACAAATTTTAATCTGTTTTATATACTTTCTCTTATTTATAATGTAAATTCTTCTTATTAAAATTAGAATTGTGTGTATTTTTTAATGTTAAAAACGTCATTTCCTCAGTTTATGTTAAACGATTACAAAACTGATTCCCGATGTGAGACAATTAGTTAATAACATTACAAAAACAATAAAAAACTTATTAGTTACGTTTATTTTACTGAAGTATACGATTCATTTGAAAATGGCTGATTTTTACGGAATACCGTTTTATATTATATTCCCGGTGATGATCTTCGTATCATTTTATCTGTAAGTACAATTTAATCAAATTTTAAAATTTATCACTATAATTTCCTAGATGATAATATGAATATATGAATAAATTAAATTAATGTCTCATTGACTCTGATAACGTTCTTTAATTGAATAACTTAAATCATAAAATTTGTTTTTTCAAACTAAAATAGGTATGTGACAAGAAATTTTGGTTATTGGAAAAGATTGGGAATTCCTGAAGTAACTCCAATGCCTTTCACGGGATCATTCAAATTCGATTTTTACTCCGTAAGGATCTTTATATTATTTATGCTATAAATGTATTTCTTTTTAAAATGTATACTTTAGTTTTAAATTTTTATAGCATCATGGAAAAAGGGAACAAAAATGGTATAAGAAATATGGAAAAATATTTGGGTAAGAGAAAAAAGCAATTGAAAATATGATATTCATAATATTAGAAAATATCAGTATTAAATTATTTACATCCAAATTAAAATGTATGTATAGATTTAACGGGTATATAGTATATAGATAATCAAAATAAATCTCTGTAATATAAGTATTTTCTATATTTGCTAAATTATATATTAAATTTAACATGTTTTTCTTCTACTGAATAACAAAAATTTTATTCTAAAATAAATAAACTTACTATAAATTTATACAGTACTGCATATGAGAAATTTTCAAATGATTTAAGAATTTGTCATTTTAATTTGTATGAATATTTAGACAATGCCATTCTATTATATTTTGCTCTACTAATTAATTTATTTAAGATTCTAATTATATTCTGAATTAAAATACATGAATTAGTTACATCAGAGTGTAAATTATAAGCTATATCATTTTCTGTAATAGTAAAATTAATTTTGTATTAGGTTCAATTCTATTGTAGAAGCACTTCCAGATTTCAATCTATTATATTTTCCTTGTAAAGCATATAAATATTAATAAATATTAAGACAAGTCTGTCAATGTTGGACAAAGGGAGGGGTTAAACTTCAATAGACGTCTGTTTATTTTACTAAATTACTAAATTTTATACAGTTTACGCATTTTATTATTAATAAAGTGATAAAGGTTTTCAGGTTTTGAGAGGGATTGAGTTCTGTGAACGTCCGAAGAAGGAAGAGAGTTGAGAAAACTTGGAAAAGCCCCTTATGTGAAGCTCCCTGAGCAATATTTTAATACTTTAGAACATGATAACCTCTCTTAACATAAAATTTACTCAATGTAAATAAAACGATTTAAATTATTTTGGTTTCCTATATGACTTATTCTGAAACACCGGATATACAGTGGGGTGCAAAAGTATGTATAAAGTTGGAAAAAAAACATACAGGAAGAAAATAGGAAGGAAGAACATTTATTTTTATGTACAAATTACATCACAAATAAGAAATACGAACTAATAAAAGATAATAAAAAAAATAATAATGAACACCAAACATTTTTATTTCTCAGATTCTCAACTATATACCTACTTTTGCAGCCCCATGTATACTCAAAATCAGGACTGTTTTGACAAGACCGGGATATATAATCATATTTCATTTTGAAGCTATTTAAATTATATAAACTATAGTTATAGATTATAAATTAAATTTTAACTATAATTTACGGCTGTAAACATTATAATACATATACATTTTAGTATATACGAAGGTGCCGCTCCAGTTCTCGTGATAGCAGATCCACATCTGTTGAAAAATATTCTGATTAAAGATTTTCATGTATTTTCCGAAGGGAGAGTGAGTAAATTTACAGAAATAGTTTGTTATTTGTTCGATATTTATTTTAATGATATTGTTATCTAGGGTCTTCGTTTTGGAGACAATATCATTGACAGAATGCTTGTCTTTCAACATGGAAAACAATGGAAGGAATTAAGAAGTATAATGACTCCAACTTTTAGTTCCGGAAAAATAAAAATGGTAATTTTTTTTAAATGATAGAGTTTATAAAAATGTTAAGTTAGATAATAATTAATAAACTGTATTTTTATGATTGAAATTATTAAAATAAATTCTAATTTCTAGATGAGCAAATTAATTGATGACTGCGGTAAAACACTTACAAATAATTTCATAGAAGCAGCTGAAAGCAAAAAAGAAATTGATGTTACCAAGTAAGAAATTTGTTTGATATAATTAAATTATCATTTATAAGGAATAAGAAGTCGATAGAATTGCGGATCTAGACTAGATTTTGTTGCAAAATATGCAACTCAAAATCTTTCCGCAGGTCACGCATCCTTAAAGTTTTATTACTTTAAATAACTATGATTTCCAATGAAAAATATATATATATATACTTTTTTTTAAAATTATTATAAGTTTATGATATGCATTAAGATGAGCTTGCAAAGAATTAACCAAATAACAATAGAAGTAAAAAACTGATAAGAAATGGATCATTCTCAATCAGCACATCCCGTATTTACTTCTACTCATTACTAAAAAAATTTTTAAATGTAGGATAATTTAATAACATTGAAATTTAATTTCTGATTCAGGTATTTTGGTGCTTATGCTATGGATGTAATTGCCAGATGTTCTTTTGGTATTCAACTTGATTCCAGAAAAGATCTCAATAATCCTTTCTTAAAGGCAGTTAGACAAACTATTAGGCCCATGTCTTGGAGAACCTTAATAGCTGGTAAGTCTAATTAATTAATTTGAAGAGAAAAACAGTAGTCTAATTAATTAGTTTGAAGAGTAAAACAGAATAAAAATGAAATTTTCTATGGAAAAATTCTAATTTTTCAGTTTTATTTCCTGGTTTGGCGAAGATACTTCGTTTATCTTTATTTGATCCAAGGACATCTTTGTTCTTTAAGGATGTTGCAATGCAAATAATTAATGAGAGAAAACATCTGAACGAAGTAAGCCTTTTTATTTAAAATTATTATATTACTTTTAACTTATATTAAATTAAACTAAGTTTCATTAAACTTTTATATTCACTCCTACACTGTTTAATTGATAATAACACTAAATTATTAAAATGCTGTTAAAGAAAAATAATAATATATTTTCATGTAAAATATTCCTAATGATGTAGATGTTTGGGCCTAATAGTTTTCTAACAGTACCTAGGAGTTGATGATGATAAATGCTAGACGTTCTCAGAAAAGTACCCAGACGTTTATCTTCTTAAAGGCTTCTAATCTAGCGAACAATCAGAAATCTTAGAGATATAGGGAGAAGTTAACTTCTCAAAGATCAAAGGTTTTGAATTAGAAGTTAAGTAATTACCATTCACTTTTAGTATGCAATCGCAATTAGTTAATTTCTTCGCTTAGTGACGAAGTTAACTTCTTAGCGAACAATCAGAAATCTTAGAGATATAGGGAGAAGTTAACTTCTCCCTAGAACAGGGGTCGGAATTAGCGGCTCGCGAGCCGCATGAGGCTCTTTGCATAAACTCTTCGGACATAAACTCCAATTTCACCTCACCTCATTTCACCGCAGCCTTATAACTTATGCCTTTATGAGATAGAGTCGTATGCCGTCCGCATATGACCACACTCGCGTTGATCAATATGTGTCGCATAAGAGTGGTAGCATTTGAAGCATATCTATATGTATAACACATTGAACGCGTGACCGTCCATCCGTGTAACGTTATGCCAAAAACGTCCACTGGAGGCGCCCCTGTCGTGTGTCGTATTTCGCAAATTTAAATTAATCTGCGGCTCTCTAGTACTTTTGTTATCCTGTTCTTTTGTTTTCATGACAATTTGGCTCTTCTCACTTGACAAACTGCCGACCCCTGCCCTAGAAGAAGTTAACTAATTGCGATTGCATACTAAAAGTGAATGGTAATTACTTAACTTCTAATTCAAAACCTTTGATCTTTGGTTCAGTATACAGCCGTTAAATTATTTAGAGATTCAACTAATTCAGCTATTATTCAAGTAATTTTAAATAAAATTATTTCAGATGTTAACTTATTTGCTAAATATTGCATTTGTTTTTAAAACAGGATGAGAAACCACAAGATTTTCTTCAATTACTACTAGAAGCGGAAAAAGAAGATTCTAATAGCAAAAATGGAAAAAAGAGTAAGTAAAATATATAAGAACAGATCAATAAACGATTATCGATGTCATTGTTTTCGCGGTTATTTATTGATCCACTCTCATAGACATTATACAAATACTAAAGATTGTACAGTATTTTTATATTTAACTATGATGTTATTTCTCAGCATTAGAACTGGACGACGTCATCTCCCAATGTGTAATGTTTTTTATGGTGGGTTATTTTACAACAGCAGCAACTCTCTCGTTTGTAGCTCATCAGCTTGCAATTAAGCCAAAAATACAAGAGAAACTTATCAAAGAAATTGATGAAGTTCTAAAAGGCAAAGTAAATATCCTGATATAAATTTGATAATTTATCTCAAAATGATTCAAAAATTTGATTAGTTAACATTATTATAACAGGAAAAAATACACGTTGATGATGTGACTGAACTTAAATATTTGGATGCCGTTTTGCAAGAAACTCTTCGATATTATACGCCAGCTGCAAGGTTTGTTTTGATTGAGCATATAAAATGTAATAATATAGAAAATAAAATATGTTTATGTAAAAATTAGATTAGAACGCCGTCCAGTTGAAGATTATAAATTAGGAGATACAGGGATTATAATTCCAAAATCTACATTAATTAATGTACCGATTTACGCACTTAATCACGATCCTCAATATTTTCCAGAACCAGATAAATTCGATCCCGAAAGGTAAATTCCTTTTGCAAATATAAATTCAATGTAAAAGCTGTTTTTAACGATTTTCGATTATAGATTCATGCCCGAAAATAAGAATACAATACTTCCTTTCACAAATCTTCCTTTTGGTGATGGACCGAGAAATTGTATCGGCAAGAGATTTGCTTCAATGGAAATCAAAATGGCTTTGGTGAAAGTTTTACAAAATATTAGATTTAAACCTGGAGTAAATACTAAGGTACAAATAATTTTATTAAAATTAGATAAATTTAGAAAGGAAATTAATTTTGTTAAACTTTTTCTTTTAGGAAGAACCAGAGTTTTTTCCTGGTGGAGGTCTTCATCGTCCACAAAATGTTTTTCTAAAGATCGAAACCAAATCATTATAATTAGATTTTATAACTGAATGTAAATTAATTTAAACTTCATATTACAATAAAGGTTGAATTTTCTTACAAATATTTACAAATACGGTTTACAATTACAGTTACAATTAACAAATACAATTACAATAATTTACAAATAACTGTCGATCTGACGCATTGCTTACGAATTTCTCAAAAGATTTGTCGAAATGTGTTTTGGTTGAAGGTTTTTATTTGTATAATTACAGAATATAATACGGAGGAATTCAACGCGATATTAAATGGAACTGTGACTTTCATCTACTGTATAACTTTTATCAAGCGTAGTCTAACTATTTAATAAAAAAAAACAGGGGAAATAACATAGTAAATGAATGCAGAAAACATGACTAAATTTTATATATCAAATGACGGAAACATGAAAGATTGAATAATTATTTATTTTTGATCAGCTCGTTATATATTTTAGTTAAAAATACTTTTTTGTTGGATGCGCAGAGTTATTATAATGAACTATTGACGAATTTGTTAACTTCGGCATTGTGATGTCAGATGGTTAATAAAAGTATTTATTTATTTATTATCATTTCAGAAACAATAGTTTGATTCTCAAAGTTTACGTTTAAAGAAAATAAAGAACCGAGTATTACATAAAATAAAACTAGAAATTTATTAGACGAAATTGCAAATTAAATAAAAACTAAAAGTCGTTATGTAAGGCGAAGAAAAGTTATTTTTGGCAAAAATAAAAAGTTTCTAAAAAGTAAGTATTATTGTGAACTTTTACATTACCTTTTAGATAAAGGTATTGTAGTTTTCGAAGTAACCTTTAATTAATTAAGACTGTAATTGTTTAGTTTTGAAATAAAGTTGACCCGTGTTTGCAGTCAGTATGAAAAGTGCACGTTGGAGCAAGATGGTGGTCACGAATTCTGCTGTTGGATAGAGACTTTATTTTATTTATGAAAACATTTTTTAAATTTAAATACTATTATAACGAGAAATAAAATGTGAAATAACAATCGAAATAAAAAATTTTTTCCACAAAATAAATATCGTCTGTTTACAAAATAGCGAAATTGAGCATGCGCGAAGTGGCGATATCGTCTGGTAAAGTAAATACGATAAGTTCAAATTTTTATATTTATTTATTCGGAAAATAATTTATTAATATTTTCTGTGAGCTTCGATATATTTATCGTTAATGTTCCATTAATAAATAGGTCTTATAGTTTATATATTGTAGATGAAAAAACGGTCACTGATTACACCGCTACAAGTAGGCCTACTCATTCAGTTTTTACTTCAGTTTCCCCCATAGAAATAATACGAATTCCACATGTTGAAACCAAGAAAAACATCGAAAATAGCAGAAGGAGAGGGAAAACAGCAATCCTAACAGATACACCGTACAAGCAGCAGCTGATGGAAAAACAAAAACAATCAATAGCAGTTTCGGCACCCCCTGGAAAACGGTCTTTGTTTACCGAAAGAAATTCCCCAAAATCAATAGTTACAGGCATCAGCAAGGGTAGGTCTAACAAGAAACAAAAGACAAATGATACAGAATGCCTCTATTATAAAGGGTTATACTCTGTATTTACAGAGTATCTGTATCCTGTAATATACTTTCAGATATCCGAGCTATTACACTAGGATCTGATTTTTGTTATCAAATCTGACAGTTTCGCCATATTAAAATTATATATTAACATCCTTTGTTTGATATATTATATGAAATGATTTAAGGATGATTATATGAGAGAGTTATGCATGCGAAGTAATACAAAAGTCTTTGTAATGAAGAATTTAGATTCGAGTCCAATTGGAGTCATTGCGATATTTTAGAGTATTTCGGACTACCGTCCAATATTTACGTTATCCAGATGACAGATATTTGATCAATCGATGATCAATAAATGTGAAGTACTGAAGATAGGAATTGCACATAACAAATTGTGTCCATACGCTCAAAAATCAAAACAATTCTTTTAATTACACCGTCACTTATATAATTTCTATGCATTGAACTTTTCGGTTTCATTTACATTGTTTCATATATATTTTATGTCTCAAATAGAAAAGGTTTCAACAAAAGGAAAAGACATTATTGTCGCACCGGTTCCGGGAAAGACTTGTTAGTGTATCTAAAGAAAAGTGTCAGTTTCGGTAAACTGTATTCTGAATTTATATCACAAGCCTCACAGCTCGTAACATTATTAATAACTAAACGATTTAGGAATAAAGCATATATAATTTAACTTATAAAGATTTGGTTAAGCTTTCACGTGTTACGTTTAATTGTAATAAGTTAAAATTAATAATGTTCATTAAAAAGGTTTACTTTTTGCAGACATTTTCTCTTTAACTGCATCGTAACATTCATAAAGAACAAAAATATCTTTAAGTAGGATTAAACATTTATTTTTTGCTTTTAAGTTTTTGCATTTATAATAAAACTCAAAACTTTATATAAAATAAAAAAAAAACACGATAACAATAATTATTATAAATTTTAATCTGCAATTTTCATATCGAATAAGATAATTGCTTATTTTTGAAAAACGATTAACGTGCATGTTATAATTTTTAAACTGTGTTTATTGTGTAATAAGAGATGGCCAACATCTATTGATTTTCATGTATCGAACTGTTCTCGAGATTAAGAAACGACAGACAAACGGACAGTCCATTTATCTGTTACGGAATTTATAGCTCTACAATTTTTCAAATTGCAGCCTAATTAAATAAACAAAGAAATGCGCATCAACGTTATTAATGTGAATTAATAACGTAATAATCATATTTAAATAAATTTTTATATATGTTACTGTGAAAGACCGAAATTAGAGAATGTCGATACTCTTCGGTGAATATCGACACATACAAAATACGTCGGTGAAAGACCGAATATTTGGTTATATTATTATACATTCGAACAATCGCCGGTGTATATCGACAAGCACAGATAAGCTTTGGTGGAGGTGAAAACGACACCTGAGAAGCCGATGTCGACAGAGAGGTGACAGTCTATCGTCAAATCATTTCTGGGTAGCCGGAGGTATAACAAGATCGTACCTTTTTTCCCGGCAACGGTTTGGTGGAAACCGCCCACTTTGTCACTGGATGGCGTTTTTGTTCTTTTGAACGATTTATCAAGTTCTTTTGACCCCTCTCATCCTCCGCAGGATAAGAGTGGTCGTCGGTAAGGCGTCGGCGATATCAGAATAAAAGACACTATTAACAGATCAATTCGTAATAACGTAATCAGTTCGTAATTTGTAAAGAAACGTTACTTTCCATAGATGAGATTTCTTCTCAAGCAGTATCGCTGAGAGAAGCAGCTGCAGCTAATTCGAAAAGTGGAGGGCAAGGCTATACATACGCTGTCGTTGCAAAAAGAAGTGCAGTTGTAAAAGCAAGGGACTCTTGTGCAATTCAAAGTGCCATAACAGTTTAAGCTGTTGCAATAAATAAGACTGAACGTTAATCACATAATTTATGTGTAAGTTTATTATTGTATTATTTTCTTTAATGATTTAGAATGTACTGTTCGTTTTAGGTTCAACAGTTTATTTACATGTGCTGTTACTTAAGCTTTCTCCTATTTTGACATATTAAAAAGTTGCATTTTTGTCTTAACGTAATAAAAATATTTATGTTCAACGTTCACCATCAGTGCATGCTGAATGTCGACATTTGCCGGTGTAAGTGAGAAATGATGATATTTAGCAAATATTTCGTACATAAATGAAACGACTGTGTGAATGCTGACATTCACCGGAGAATGTTGACATTCGCCAGATATCGGTCATTCACAGTAACGTATACACATACGTATGTATCATATTTATGTACTAAATAAAAAAAAAATCATTTTAATTTACAACTTCTATTTTATGGCGACGCAGAAATAAAACTTCGAATAAGTCCTGTATTATGGCTCGATTTGAACAAAATTAAAGTAAATATATATCAAATACTTTAATGGACTTTTTCACCCCTCTCGACATACCACTAGGTTGTCATGCGTTGGCTTAAATTTTGAATTTACTCGCGAACAGCATTGTAGGGGCGGCCAAATATCTCTGACACGCAGGCGGCTAACGGTCCAAAACCGGTGCTGCATCCTCCACCCATGCCCGTCTGGAACAAAATTAAGCACAACATTGTTCATTGCATCCTGACCAAGGGTCAACCTGCGGGAGATTATCACATGTTGAATCGTATCAAGCTATGCGACAGTTGCTACGACACTGACAGAATTTTGCTAGCAACTTACGTGACAAGATAATATTTTCAAAAGTTGACTTAGTGTGGAACTCCTGGATATCAGGTCAATCTCGAACATCGAACTCCTGGATATCAGGTCAATCTCGAACAACTTTTTCGCTGCTTGTCCGAATAAGGCATTGGCATCAACTGCGAAAAGTGTGTCTTGGGTGTATCAGAATTGTTCTTCTTGATACACGTGGTCAACATAGATGGCATTAAACCATTGCCGAACCGGATAGCTCTTATTTTAGAGTTTGAGCAGTCTGAAACAATTAAAAAGCTCTAACGTTTCTTGGACTTATTCAGTTACTACAGGCGAAACGTACCGAACGCAAATCACAAACAGACATGATTAAATGAGCTCTAAATTGTCTAA